TTGAACAGAATGATGAATGTGATGAAGTTTATGCCAAAGTTGAAGACACTCAGATCTGTTGGAATGGGAAAAACTGATTAAGCTATAAGCGAAACATGAAAGTATATATGTAAGTGTATGCACAAACACACACAAAATACACACATACACATAAACACTCATAAAATTGTAAAAATCAGTTAAAATTTCTTGACACAAAAAAAAATAAAATTGAAAAATAAATAAATAAAAGAAATAAAAAATAAAAGAATAAATAAATAAATAAATAAATATATAAATAAATAGCTCGGAAAACTAGTCTTACCACATCCTCTGTAGTAAGAGACGATTTCATGCACTGGTAACAATAATAGGTCTTGTACAATTCTGTGTATAATCAGTGGAAAAGTACCAAAATTAATTCAGAAATTATGCCATTACTTTATAGGTATACTCACCATCAAGAGAGAGGTACCAGTGCAGATTGGCATCCCACTGGGAGTTACAGACTGCCATAATTAGGCAAAGAACTATAAGCAGGAAAAACAGCAGAATGATCAGATTGTTGGTCTGCTTATCCACCTGAAATTGAAAATTAAATTCAATAAATCCAAATACAGATATTGGGATGATGAAAAAACACAGAAAATCATGAAAGACTTCCAATCATACTCTTATGAGACTACAATCCATCTACTCAATAATCATGAAAGTTCATTCATCAATTTAGTTGCATATATATTCATATACAAAGATAATTGTACAAATGATATGGGCACCAATTATCTGTTCATATAACAGTATGAGATACAACATACAACATAATGACCAAAAACACATCCTAATCAATTTCCACCTAGTGCCCTCAGGGAGTGTAAAACTTCACAATCATTACTCTAGTATGAGTAGATAGGTAATGTTTAAGGAGCTAATGAGATCTTAGTTGCACACTTCTTTTAGTGGGTCATGTAGTATGAGTGGTTTATAACTGGTCCTCTGGTTCATACCTGGAGTGACCTAGATTTGAGTCCTGGTCAGGGAAGGTTGTTATTTATTGACATCAATACATTATTCTATCTTTCATAAATATATCTAGGTACATCTGACTTAGTATTCGAAGTGCTAAATCAATTTCCACCCAAGACCCTCAGGGAGTGTGTGTAAACCTTCACCATCATTACTCTAGGATGAGTAAATAGGTAATGTTTATGGAGCTGGTGAGATCCTAGTTGTACACTCCTTTTAGTGGGTCATGTGGTATAGTTCGTTTAACAATGGTCTTCTGGTTCATACCTGGAGTGACCTAGGCTTGAGTCCTGGTCAGGAAGGGCTGTTATTTATCGATATCAATGTAGCATTGAATTATTCCATCTTTCATAAAACTAACTTTACTTCTTTTACCAGTGTAAAACTATTAACTTACTGTAGAGCGTTTGAGAGGTGCTGAGGTAGCAGAATTCTTCATAAGTTTAGTTTCATGGCCAGTGTATACAACAAGACCAAATACCCAATTCGTGTTCTGGAGTTTTGCCCCTCGCAGAAGGACTTGATCTGGGCTTAAAGGGACGGCCCTGTAGAGTGAAAGTAATTAATAAGTACACTTTTGGAAGTTTTTGTGGTACTCTTCTTTAATCAGTTGATGCAAAAACTCCCATTCACAGCTATTTAATCTTCAATATATGGAAAAATATTTTATTTTCACCCCTTTAACTCATTTTATCACTCTCTCTTTTCTTTTCTATTCATTCTGGATAAATTATATATACTCACTGCCTGCTGGTCATTTTCAAGTTACCAGTAAACTGGTAAAGAAATCTGTTCGGTGCTTCACATTCTACTTTGCCTGACAGATTCATTAAATCACGTGCTTCCAAGAGGTGTGCTGTTTCTTGTAGACCTTGTCGTATCTTAAGATTCGTTTCTCCATCAAGGTTAGCAGTTTCCACATAACACAGTGCTTGTGGCTCACTAGAACACAAGATCAAGTATTAAGGTCAAATGAAAAAATGGTAAGCATTGTATACTATTCCGTGATTATATAAAAAGGTAAAACATAAATGAACTATGCAGGATACCTACCTGGAGGCCAAGATGATTAGGTCAGCTGGAAAGAATTTGTTATTGTGAACCTTGACAATATCTCCCACTTGCACATGACGCCACTTAATCCATTGCCACTGGCCGTCACGAAGCACCTCAATCTCACGCTTGTTGATTTCATCATCTGCTCTATGTCGTTTCTGGGTAAATATGTAAATGCATGTCAATATTTTTCCTTCAGAAGCACCACTGCATATAGCACTACCATCATACCACTACTTCCAACCAACTAAAATAATGAATGCAGTTATATGAATATACATATTCATATGTATGAGAAAAATAACATAAATCTGAAAGAACACTGCAAACTAAGTCATAATGAGTATTATATCAATGCAAAACTAAATTCAGGAAAAAATTCAAGAATGTCCAAATGACACTAAAATCTTATCAAAACTGCACAAAACTGGGTATAGTATATCTTCAGGTCCCAATCTCACTCTTTCAATCTCTCTCATTCATGCACTCACTCATGCTAGCTCTCATTCTTGCTTTCTTTCTCTCTATCAATATTGCAAAATGTATCTTTATCTTTATCTCTATCTCTATCTTAATCTTGACCTCAACTTCTACTTTTATCTCTATTTCTACCCTATAATAGAAGAAAGAAAGAAAGAAAAAAACATTGAAAAGTATTTGGTTCGTTCTCTTCCCTAAAAGTCATAATAAAGCACTGTGCACATTGGTGGGTCTATCACACATGGGCAAATTTTCATGTACATTCTATGTATTGTGTACTTCCAATTAAACAAGCTAACAAATTAGCTTCAAAACATCTTTACAATTTAATAACTGCAGAATATATTCAACTAATATCAAAGACGGTCATATACTACAGACTTTTGGAAAAATAAACAAGATTTGAGCTCTAGGTCTGGCTCCCCTTGATGGTGTTCCTAGGCCAGGCCAAAACAACAATAATTCCAAATTTGAATCAAATTCTAGAATTAGAGAAGGCTAGCGGAACCCTTATCTTGATTATATTTTGAGGAGTTGTATGTCCTTTGACATTTATATCTCTTCAAATTTTGCAGAAAGAAGTGTTTTATGTTCACAAGACTTGTTTTTGTATATGCACTAATCTACATAAATTTATAGATAGCACAAAAAAAGACATCTACATGTAATAGCCCCTCAACCCATTGGATCCAGGTGATGCGACAGTCACACCATGAAAAAAATTGGCTTTGGGCCAGGTAACATGATCAAATTTAGCTGAGGGACAGGGTGATGGGAATGACTTGTCATGAATGGAAAAGAATCTTGGAGGAATATTAGACTCAGTGGGCATTTCATAACATACTCCTGCATTAGTTTCACTGGTACACAAGTGAGATGTACCACCCATGAGTCACGGCTGGAAGAGTGCCTGCTCCCAGGAGGATGCAATTTTTAGGCTCATGATCCTATTCCTGCCTGCCGTGACCAGCAGCATAGGGTGTATTACCAAAAAATTATAATATGAAAACACTATAAAATATTACATAACAATATTACTTATCAAAATTGTTATTGTGCACAGTTGTAGACTACCTAGACAGAGAATGAGGGGTGAAGGTAAAAAGTCAATTATCATCTTGATACAGAATAACAATTGACAAATGTAACCTTGAAAAATAACAGAAAAGCAAAACACTCCTATGCAGAAAAAGAGCTTCTAACATCTTGACATCACACAAGTGTTTGTGTGGGCTAGCCCTACAAGCCTCACACCTCGGAGAGTCACCACACAAGTCAGCCTACTGCCCAGTTTTTGGTCCACGAGGTACATGAATCCAACACATTCATGAGTATTAAGATAACAAAAAAACAAAAAAAATTAAGAATCCTCAAATTGCACTAAACCTTAACAAATCTTAACAAAAGTGACAAAGTGTACATACTATATCTTCAGCTATCTCCTTGATGGCGGACACCACCAAGATGCAGATGAGAGGGACCAGCGTGGTGTAACGACCTGTTGGGGATACTCCTGGGATTTGCTGGGGAAGAAAAAGAGAAAAATCATTTCTCTAACCAATAATGATACTAATACTGATAATGGTAATGATAACAATAGTGATGATGATGATGATGATGATGATGATGATGATGATGATGATGATGATGATGATGATGATGATTGATGATGATGGTGATGATAATAGTAAAATAACAACAACAACAGCAACAACAATAATAATAATGATAATAATAATAATAATAATAATAATAATAATAGCAATAATGATGATAACAATAGCATCAAATAATAATAATAAAAACTACTATTTCCTACTATTTCTATTAATATTCATAATAATAATAATAGTAATAATAATAGTAATAATAATGATAATAATAATAATAATAATAATAATAATAATAGCAATAATGATGATAACAATAGCATCAAATAATAATAATAATCATAATAATAATAATAATGAAAATAATAATGATAATAATAATAATAGCAATAATGATGATAACAATAGCATCAAATAATAATAATAATAGCAATAATGATGATAACAATACCATCAAATAATAATAATAACAATAATAAAAACAACTGTAATAATAATAATAATAATAATAGCAATAATGATGATAACAATACCATCAAATAATAATAATAATAGCAATAATGATGATAACAATACCATCAAATAATAATAATAATGATAATAATAATAATAATAATAATAGCAATAATAATGATAACAATACCATCAAATAATAATAATAACATCAATATTACCATCATTATTAACCCATTGCCGCCGGGGTAAATGAACAAAAAATGGGGAAAATGCTGTACTCATTTTTAATGTTTTTGTGAAATTTCTCTGTCCATAGATGGCTCTGCTAGTCCTGATTTCACTTTCTCCTTGAGTTTTCATATCTTAAAAATTTATCGATATAAATGCTTTTATTATTATTAATGATACTATAGCTATCATAATGGCATCAACATTACTAACATTAGATTAAAGAGAGTTTCCTAAAATTCAAAGTAAAGGTTATACAGGTGAGATTGGTGGTAAAATTCTTGGTAACTATCTACTTGTGGTACCATCTAAGTCTACAGACAAAAAGCTAAATTCACAGTGGGCACGGTGTATACAACATTAACAATAAAAAAAAAGTAACAATCATAACAACACTTATGCAAACAATTATAGAAACAACAACAACAAAAAAAAACTGCAAATCAAAATAACAATAATGACTAATAACTATCATCAATATCATCATTTTCACATTTGTATTCATATCAATATCAACAATAGTAACAATAATATCAATATAATTAACGATAATATCAATATAATTAACAATAATAACAATAATAAGCATCATAACAATAACAACAACAACAACAACAACAACAACAACAACAACAACAACAATAATAATAATGATGATAATAATAAACAATACTAAAACTATCAATCATATTATTATTATGCCAATAATAATAATCATAACAATAAAAAAACAATACTAATATGGATAACAAAAACAATACTAATATGGATAACAATAACAAAAATAAATTTAATAATAACAATAATAAAAACAACTGTAATAGTAATAATAATAATAATAATAATAATAATAATAATAATAATAATAATAATAATGATAATACTAATAATGATAATGATAATAATTATGAAAACAATTATAATTACTATAATAATTTAAAAAATAAACATAAAAATAAAGATAATAATAATAATGAAAATAATAATGATAATGATAATGATGATGATAATAATAAAATAATAATAATAATATAATAATAATAATAATAATAATAATAATAATAATAATAACAACAACAATAATAATAATAGGAATAACAATGACAATAATCATAAAAATAACTAATAATAATAATAAAAACTACTATTTCCTACTATTTCTATTAATATTCATAATAATAATATCAATAATGCTGATTACAACAATATCAATAACTACAGTACAATAAAAAACAATAAAAATCATATTCATCATCATCATAATAATAAAACAAAATAAAATAAATAATAGAATTAATATTAATAATAATAATAATAATAATAATAATAATAATAATAATAATAATAATAATAATAATAATGATAAAACAAAATAAAATAAATAATAGAATTAATAATAATAATAATAGTAATAATAATAATAATAATAATAATAATAATAATAATAATAATAACAATAAAACAAAATAAAATAAATAATAAAATTAATAATAATAATAATAATAATAATAATAATAATAATAATAGTAATAATAATAGTAATAATAATAGTAATAATAATAATAATAATAATAATAATAATAATAATAATAACAGCAATAACAATAACAATAACAATAATAATAATAATAACAATAATAATAATAATAATAATAATAATAATAATGATAATAATAATAATAATAGCAATAATAAAAAACAACAACAACAACAGCAATCTTAACAATAACAGTAATATTAATAATGATGATGTTGATATTGACAATGATAATAAAAATAAGAATTATAACAATAACTACCATAATATTCATAGCAGCAGTGCTATGATAACAATTGTAATAATAAGAATATTGATAATAAAAATAAAAATAAAAATAAGAACCAGCATAAGAATATAACTAAAAATAATGAAAATAGTAATATTAATAATAATAATAAAACAATAATAATAATAAGAAGAAGAAGAAGAAGAAGAAGAACAATAATAATAATAATAACAATAACAACAATTGTCATAATTCTAGTAATAACAAAAACTATAAAAATAATAACAATAACAATAACAACAACAACAATAATAACAATAACAGTAATGATAATGACAATAATAATAAATAACTATAATAATAATAATAATAATAATAATAATGTTAATAACAATAACAACAATAATAATAATAACAATAATAATAATAATTTCTATTATTATCATTATTATTATCATTATTATAACAACAATAATGACAACAATAAAAAATATTATCATCATTATCATTATATCATTACCAATAGCAGTAACATAAATAATGATAACAACAATTATAACAACAATTATCATAATTCTAGTAATAAAAACAACAACAACAACAATAATAATAATAATAATAATAATAATAGTAATAACAATAACAATAACAACAATAATAATAATAATAATGATAATGACAATAATAATGATAATGACAATAATAATAATAATAATAACAATAATAATAATAATAATAATAATAATAATAATAATAATAATAATAATAATATAAATTATCGTTATTATTATGATGATTATTATTATATTAACTATTGTTATGATGATTTTAATAATCATCATAACAATAATAAAAAAAAAAAATAATAATAATAATAATAATGATAATGATAATAATAA